AAGTGCTGGGTCCCTTCTGCTCCCCCTGAAACAACTGTGAGTCCTGGAGAGAGAAATTCAAATCAACGCATCAAACTCCCTCTAGGATGGAAGCCAACAACACTGCCTCAAGTTCTGAGGATGGCAGTGCCTGCACCAGCCTCACCTCCCCTCCCTGCTCCAGTATGGTCTGTGTGAGCATCAAGGCTCAAATCAAAATCGAATCACTCATGAGACATCCACTGTGCCCGTAAAGGTGCACAATGACCAACGTGTCTTGGAGTAATAACTGACTCGTTTTCCTTAAGATCTTTCTTATCCACTGTTTTCATTTGCCCTCTTTTCTTAAAAGCAAGAGGGACTTGCAGGGTGTCCTACTTTGGATACCTGATTAAGCATTTCTGAACAAGGAGCTGCTCTCTGCTATTCTGCTTTCAAATGCAAAGCGAGAACATGTTCAGGATTTGCTCTCTTTCTCTCCTCCCAGCTGAACGACGCTTGAGGGACATCTCTCCTGACTATACTGTTGCTGCTGAGCAGCACGTGGATTACGAGCAGTATCATGCGAGCTGAAAACCAAAAGGTTAAGCACTGTGCTGTCATTGGGACCTACAAGCACAGCAAGAAGTCAACAAGAGAAACACCTCAAAAAGCCAAGCAGGTAACCGAAAAGGTCAGGAAGGGCAGAGCCCACCTTTTAGGACTGCTCGGCATAAATCAGAGTTAGTGAAGCAGGAAAAGCTTCCTCAGTCCTCACAGCGTGGAATTTGTCATCTGAACTAGAGCCCCAGATTAGAAAATGCTATTTAACAGCCCTCGAGATTCGGCTTCCTTATGCCCTTGCCTGAGAAACAGCATCAAGGGAGAAAAATCAGAGTTTCCCAATCCTATTCCTCAGTCAAGTCATGCACCAACTGCAACTACCCCTGGAACAGCCACCCACCCAAGAGCCACACGCACCCCTCTCCACCACAGGACTCCAACGTCAGCGCTGCCATAAGCACTTCTTCGGGAGCAATCTTCCTCCGAGTCCAGCAATTCCAAACTGCAGGCAGCACAATGTGACACAGCACAGGGAGGAGTCAACACAAGGGCTCCGAGGCTCTGGAATGATTCACTGCAACACCAAAGTGCAGAAGGCACTCGGATTTCCCACCACTAAATGGGATAATTAAAGCATGTTTAAGTATCGTGGCCATCGGCATCCCAACAACCACAACTGAACAGTGCAGGTACTGTCTGACCCTTGTACAAGGCAGTGTAAGAAGTCCGGCACTAGGAACTCCAGCTCCCTCTTGCTTGATGTAAATGCCATCAAAACAATGACTTTCCAGGTAAGAAACCTGAACTAGAACACAAATTGCAATTAAATACTTATTTTCACTCCCTCTTCAGAAGTTTTTTGCATGGGACACAGTCTGAGGTTGGGGATTGCAGGGACTAAACCACATACCGCTCACCAGCTAGTGACTAACTTGCTGCTCAACACGGGTAACTAATCAGCCAAAACTAATGGACAAATCCTGATGGAACTAGGCTACAGTCAAATGCAGGATAAGCAAAGAAACCCACCACTCTGGGAAAAGCAGCTACTATAAAGATATACATGATAAAAAATAGTTTGGGTTGGAAAGGACCTTAAGATCATCCAGTTCCAACTCCCCTGCCACAGGCAGGGACAGCTCACACTAAACCATGGCACCCAAGGCTCTGTCCAACCTGGCCATATTTCCTACTTACACATATAGTACCAGAACCCTGGTTACTCACTAAACCATCACTTGGGCACACAGGCCAGAGCCCAGGCAGCGCTGGGAGCAATCCGTGTGTCCTGCTCCCAGCATCATCCTTCACAAAGAGCAGCTCCTGCTCCTGCCGCGCTGACAGCAGCAGTGGGGCCCTGCAAAGCAGCGCAGGTTCCACCGCCGCAGATGGCTGCTGCCTACAGTCACACCCAGGCAAAGCAGCTCAGCTCTCCCCAGGGGAGGCTCCAACCTGCCTTCGTCACCACCGAGCAGAAGCAAAGCTTCCCTTGATCCTCGCTCTGCCACCGCACACGCTCTGGAAGCGACACGTAAGCAGATCCCTGCTGTGAAGCCAGGAGCTGGGTTATTCATCTACGGAGCAAAGGAAACGCAACACGATGGTCCCTGACCCAGGAATGCTCCTGAACCACCCTGTGGGCACACACGCTTGCTCTCCCCATGAGCTGCATGGGAACCAAGAGCACCTTGTTAAACCCAGCCCATAGCTGGCAGGGCTCCCCATCCGAGGTGTAACGAATACCTCCCTGCTTTGTTTATGCGGGACCTGACAGCCTGGTTATGCACCTGAATGACAGCACCTTCCCAGGCAGCAGGTCTACCGAGGACCTGCCAAGGTCTGGTAGATCCCTAACACTACTGGATAACACAATTCCTTTGGGAGATGCTGCTCTATGGCCAAGATCAGGTGGGCCAGAGCAGCACAAATGCTTCAAAGTCTGTCCTTGACCAGATACCGATTGGAGAATGCCACCATGCCAGAAAAACTCAAAGGTCAGCTCTTATCTGTGTATGATGTAGACACATCTTTGTTTCTTCTGCATGTTTCTACTTGAATCCCAGAGGCTCTCGGTGACGTGGCTGCTTACTGCAAACAAGTGACAAGACACACTTTTTGTGGTAGAACCCTCGCTAAAGATCTAGAAGCAGCCAGCAGTTCCCTGGGGCAAGGCAGGGGCACCCAGGAGCAATACCCAGTTAAGGGATGGCGGCCAAGGGATGACACAGAAGCTTTTACACTCACTGCGATATTCCATCTCGCTCCCAAAACTAAAACAATCAGGGTAAAAGTCTCCCTTCTAATAAACGAATCCAAAAACCCAGCCACACTTGAGCAACCCTGCAAAAAGCCTTCCCTGTTCCATGCTCGTATCGATGTCAAACAATGGTTCTCTACAATAAGCTGGCCCAAGGCAGCTTCCCAGTGGAAAAGTCAGCTCTTCCCCTTCCCGTCTCCTAGCACGACTTTGGAAAGACTGATATTTAGATGCACTCAAACGTTGTCCCAGCTCTTCAGGCTGACTTCAGGAGTTGCACTAACAAGCACAAAGGCACGTTCAGCCTCAACTTCAGCAATGCCAGAGCTCATGAGACCCAATGTCAAAGCACTCGTGCCAGCAGGACAGTCAATGCTGGAAAGGGTAATCACTAAATACCCACAGGCATAAGCTTTAAACAAGGTTTGGTGGGCCTGGCCTAGATGCCAGCGTGGATACACACCAGCTTCTGGCCTTCCAGACAATAGAAGAACCGTGGTTTTTATGAGCTTTAAAACCTTTGGCTGTTGAAGAGGCTGGGGAATGTAAAGGCATGACTAACACAAAGGGCAGGAAAGGCAGCAAAGAATTTCACGCATCACGTCTCTGAATAACACGCTTCCTCCTGGGATTAAGATGAGTGGCAAAGAAATTTCACTTTGCTAGACAACACGTGAGTGTCTGAAACCCACAACATGGGAAAGGTAAGATGAGTTTGGACAGAATCTGAATCAAATGTCTCCTCTCATAACTATTACAATACTTAGAAATGCAATTTTACTACTAATCCCAGCAGTAAGTTTGCGGACATTGTAAACTGGGACTAAAGTTACTAAAGTCTCTTTTCCAACAGCACAAGAACTCCTTTATGTCCAGCCAGCAGGAATCACGTGCTCAGCTACCAGCTTCGCACTGGGAGAAAGCTGAGCTCGTGCCACGTTTAAGACCTCACATACAGAAATTCATCCTATGCTGACATCCCAAAACACCATGTAACATTTAGTTGGAATTTCCTATTCAGGAGCTCTAACATCTGTTTATCAGCAGTCGTCCACACACGTGTGGGTCTGGGGGATGCTGAAGTTACCAAATACCCACCCTGCTCACTTCCACCTACCTAGTTCAGTATAATTTGTGTGGCACAGCACTCGACCGGCCTTTAATATTCCTTTGGACAACATGCATCAAAATGCACCCAGTTATTCCTCCAGAGCTCCAAACAGACCCAGAACAGTGCAGATACCACCAGAGTCCTGGTGATATTGCCAGACGTGACTGGAAAGCTGTCCCTGTTCCAAACAGGACCCCTGTGACCACTGCAGGCAGCTTTTTGTCAACCATAGCTAGACTTCACAGACTGAGGTTTAAATTCAATAGGTCCATCAGGGTGGAAGAGCTCATCTACTGATGCAAGCAAGATTTGACACAGACTACACACAGAATATGGCCTTTTAAGAGATTTGTGCAAAACACTGTCATGTACACCCCTAGGGAAAATACTCTGGTTTGGAAGAACAGTTTCCCTTCCTCCTTGACCTGTCTCAAGACCTTTTGCCTTGACAAGGATCTTCCTCCTCCACACACAAACTAATACCTAATACTTATGCAAACAGCATCTAGTTAATGACATAATTATGAGGCTGTTGTCATCGTTTAATGCAACTCAAGACAAGAAGAAAATCCCCAACAATAATTCCCCACATTCAAGAAGAGAACACACTTCACACTTCCACTGGCGCTTGGACCAAAGCCTTTCACGCACTTCATTTAACAACAAAATGTAGTTCCCCAGTCATGGCTATAGGTCAGCTACAAGGATTCAGCCTGGCCTTACTTTAGGTAACAGGTTTACAACAAAGATCCTCACTGTAAAAAGGCAAACATTTCATTTCAGGTCCAACACACCACTGAGAGAACCTTCTGCAGTACTTTCACTTGGTTTCTGCAGCACGCTTGTGCCACTCCACAGCCAGGATTTCCAGGACTTGCTGCTCCACAAGAACACCAATACCTATGCATGAAGAATTCCATCTTCAGCGTTGCACATGCTGACCCAACCAGGAAGGGTGCTGCAAATCACACCACTCTAGTTTTAACCATCACTTCTTTGAGCTAAGCCCATCAAAACAGAAGCATTCCTATAAACCCCAGGTCTTCCATGTGCCACCTTTCACCTCGCTCTCCCCCCACCAGCGGTAAGCAAGGCACGACTGCTACTTACAGTGGTACGTGGGGTTGTTCGGGGTCTGCTTTGGTCAGTTCCTCTTCCTCAACGTCAGACTCTCCTCCCGAGCTGCTCTCAGTGACATCCGAGTCAAACGCTTGCTCACTGGATCTCAAGTTGGCCATCCCACTGGCCGTGAATCGCTCCAGTTCTTCCGATATCGAATCGCTCTTCAAGAAGCTGCTGAGGCCTTCAGAAGTAACTGTCTCGCTCGCAGCCTTCCTCAAGGCTGCCTCTGCTTTCCTGGTCAACATCAGCTGGCTCCGATGCCTCAGGGGGTCCAAAGCGGGGAGCTTGCTCAGAGTTTTCTCCAAGAAGCCACCCAACTGCTGCTGGATGTGCCTCTCGACCTGCTTCGCCTGCACGACCTGCAAGCGCTTCTGCAGCCTGCGGGCACGGCTCTCGATGTCTGCCTGCCGCCGCAGCAGTGCCCTCGTCCTCATCTCCGAGTCGAGAGCACTGTGGTGACCGGCCAACAGAGACGGCTTCTGCTCCTCCAACTTAATGCTCCCAAAGTCCGAGTGACCAGCAAGGCCAGGCAACCTCGTCTCTCCACTGCCACCCTCGAGCACCCACTGATGCTCCGTGGAATTGAGGGAAGATTTGTTTGCAGTGCTATTATTGCTAAACGGAGTCATGTGCTCTGCATCAAGGCTTCTATGTGGAAGAGTGCAATTGGTCAACCCGGCCTTCAAGTCCCCCAATTCAGAACCTCCTGTGTTATAGTCAACACCCTGGAGGGCAGCAGGAGGAGCACACTTCCCACCGTTCAAAGAACTAGAGTTTTCATGGTCTGAATTGGTACTTTTGGCCAATTTCTTGGCCAAGCCATTGACAGGCGCTTGCGGGAGAGGTGGCTGGCTATTAGTACTCATTGTTTTTAGATTCTCCAAAGTGAATTCCAACACTGGTTGCCTCCCCAACAGATCACTTGTTTTTAAGAAGGACTGAGATAAGAGAGAGTGAGATTTAAGGACTGTCTGCTTGTTGAAGACTCCTTGCAGCTTCAGAGGCTCTTTTGAAGGAACAGATGTTACATCCGAGCAGAGATAAGAGGCCACCAGCGGCTGCAGCTTGCCCAGCTCTTCCTTGGTAGGGTTGTTTCGGAAATCTAGACTGGGATCCTCTGGAGCAATGGCTTTCCTTTTGGTGCCGTTGGCAGCCAGGAGGATGTTGTTGGCGTTGCCGTTGCTCTCTACACTGCCAGGCGACAAGGTGGAGGACGGGGGAGCCAGCTTGAATCGGATGTGGTGAGCTTCAGCTGCTGCGTCAGTGAGAGCGGGCGCCATCGCAGCCATTCAGCACAGAGAGACGGGAAGTCCAGCCTCTCCCGGTGCCGAGGCCAGCTCCACTGCCTCCCACTGCCTCTCCCGAGGGCAGCCTGCACAGGGGAAGGGAAAAGAGAACCTTGGTTAGGCACTGCACTTATAGAAAACAAACCAAACAAGACCGACAACCGCAACGAGACGGATCGACAACATGCTCTCGGTAAAGCCATGCAAGCTCCATGTGCAGCACAGCATCCTCCCTCTGTGACCACCCTGTGCTCAGCAGAACCACCCGGGCACCAGGCAGCTGAAAACAGGAGCAACACATGAGCTGGTCCTCGGGATGTCCCAGAGCTGGTGCCTGCCTCTGGCTATTGCCCTCATCCAGTCCACCCACCGAGCACAGCAGCAGCCTCCCAGGCCTTCGCAAAAGGTCTGGCCCTGGTTTACATCTGCTCCTCAATGCCAGCAGCTCAGTAACTTCATCTCTAAGATCCTTGAGCTACGGCTATAAAGCAGTTTTCACTGCTTCTACTGCCAGCTCAGGTGTGTCAAAAATGAGAAATTAGAACTAGATCATGCAACAGAGACAGGGCTTGAGAGGAACAAATCTCCATATGCTTAAACTCCCAGTGGCTAAAAAACCCCACTGCTTCCCCGGAAACCTTGAACTTGAAGAGAGCAGTTACTCCTGGTGTATGTGAAACCTGCTTTCCCAGAAGTACATTTCGGAATAAGCCAGGTGATTTCCAACGTTAGCAATTCCCACTTCTCTTTCAAGAGCATGGATAAAGATTAACCCCCACAAACACCGTGACAGAGCAGTTCTACGCTCTGACTGTACTGGCAAAGCCATGGCTTAACTCCATCAAACAAGGGAAGCAACCAATGACCTTTCATTCATCTACACTGCATCCACTTCCCACCCACCTTTGTCTGGTCATTTAGTGGTAAAGAAAGTAGGTAAAAGACATGAAAAGACAGAGGCACTTTTTGTTTAAGCGCGTTCACACAGCCCACAGCACAGGCTGTGCTACCACCGCAACAGTCACTTTCTGCCTTTTGCTGCTGAAGTTACCCAGCATCTTCGTAAGCTATTCCAATGGCAATCTAATAATAAAAAGTTACCCTGATCTCTCGCCTGATACGCCAATCTTCTCGTTTCACACACCTTTGCAGAAGCTGCTTGTAGCTGTCAACACACCCCAATGACCACATTAATACACCACTTTACAGCAAAAACAAGGGCAAGCTAAGGTTTGAATACGCTCAAAATGAGCAACATTTCACAGCCAGTTTTCTTTCCAGCATCATTCAGGGTCAGACCAAGGGGCTTCCCCACACCAGAGACCAGAGACAGACATCAGGGCCCCCCCTCAAACAGAAGGCCAAAGGAGAAGCTCAAGGTTAGGTGCTCTCTTTGCTTCCCAAAGAGCATGCACATTGGTCTACAACCGGTCTTGCCAACCAGCTCTCTTGCCAAACTCAGTTACATGACACAGAGGAGGAAGACAGTGAAGAAAGGATACACTCCCAGAGGAACTGAATCCAAACTATCAGTTGGAGCTATTGTACCAGAAGAGGTATAACAGAGGTGGGTCCAGACCCCAGAAGCCCCCTCTTCACAGAACTTGAGTGTATTTTGTAACCAGCTGTACCTTGTCCCCCCCTCGAACAAAGGATGCTGCATGCCTAGAAATTGACTGTCACTGACTGAAAATGGCTTCGAGTCACCATTTGGGTCCACAAAACAAAAACCAAACATGACTGTTCAGGGAGGAGGGAAAAAAAGAAGAACTTGCAGGGAACTTTCCACTTGTGGCTATGACACCCTTGGGAGAGGAGGGAGGAAGACTCAGCATAAAGGACTTCCCCCACGCCAGCCTGCTACCAAGCCCTTCACTAGGGACACGTGTGCTTGAATGACTGCTCCTAACGGGCACTCTCAGTTCTGCAGACACAGGCTGCTGTGTCTCCCAGAGAGGACTCAGGAGGCTCTTCAGCACCAGTGCCACCGCACAGTAAGCACAGCAGCTTAGGGAATGCCATACAGCAAAAAACCCACACTGGGCACTGAATGCAGGGATTCCGCATGCACCTATCTGCACTGCGCTGCACCACGTAGGAGCTTACCTAGGCTGGGGAGTATCTGAGAGTTAGTTTGTATGTCATCAGCATTAACAGAAGCAGAAAACGGAAGCAGAACTTCCACACACTGCCTTTTGCTCCGGGTTAGCAAACGCACTTGAAACAGAACATCCACCTCCTAAGCTACTGCAACGCTCCCTGGCTTCCCTTTTAGCTGGGTGGACAGCGTCTAAAATACTCTGGAAGCCTGGAAAGCCTCCCTTGAGAGCAAGGCTTTGTTCGAGTACCTTAAGGATGACCTCCAAAAGTTCTTGGGTGTATTTTAGGGTTTTTAAGTCCTTAGAAACTGTCTGTTGCTACTCAGCACTGAATTCTCGGGTTAGAGAATTGGATCTCTACTCTTCAAAGAACTCCTGGAAGAAGCACTAAGGGACATTTGTAAGCATGTTCCCTCCCTCTGTTTGGAAGTTTGGATTGTTACTAAAGCCAGCCTACACTTACCAGTCATTTCTTCCTAAGAGGGGATTCAAAGGGAGAAGGTGATTAAGGCATTTCTGAGGTGACCAGAGAAAGGAGGAATAATGAAAAGGCAAGGCCACGGAAAAGAATGGGAAGGTCATTCCAGCGACACGGCCCAGGGCCTTCTGAAAATTGAGGGGAATTCCAAGAATTGGGCTGAATATTTTGAGACTCAAACCATCCTGGCAAGCTCTACCCAAACTGGTATCACCCAGGAGAACTATCCGACTGACGTCGGGTTCCTTTTTGCAGTGCTTCTCCACCAAGGAACTACAACTCCCAGCACTTAAACTACCATGTACATGACCAAGCAGCTTCTCCTGCTGGTAGCCAAGAGTCAAAATACCTGGATTACCACTGCAGCTCCTCCACCACCACTTGTCTGCTACTCCAGCAGCCACAGCACACCTTGTACTGGACTTCACTTGGGAAGACCCAAAAGGAGCTGCTTCTGGAAGGCTAACATGGCCTTTACAACATGTTTCAAGATAATACTCAAAATCCACAAGGACCTCCTTCATTTTCACTTTAAAACTAGAGCACTGCCAGAGCAGTTAGCATTAATTAACAGAGGAGAGATGAAAGGCTCTAGTGAGCAGGTAAAAACAGGGTAACCGTAACTCGCCCATCTTCCCAAGGAGTGCATGTGAGGCCACTCAAGGGAGGGAAGCCACCAGCCTACTCAGTGGCTTCACCCACAGCTCCACGTCAACTACACCAACATCCAGCCTCCCACTGCTTTTTAAACACAGAGCAGAGGGAAGAGTGGGAACAAGGTCGAGGCAATGATGGGATGTGAGCAGAGGCAGGAGGAAGGCGCCCAGTCACACTATACCCCGGAGCAGCTATCGGGTCACAACACCCCTGAAAACAATCCTTCAGTGTGCTGACTTATTCAAGACGGTCTGTTCTTCAAACCCAATTTTGCAACAAGCCACTGAAAGCAGAACCGGGTTTCCAAGCATGTGAGTTTGTGCAACACCTCACAAAATGAGCCCAAAATGAACACAGGAAGGTTTTGCTCTCTGCAATCTGTTGATAAAGAGTTTCCTGGGGAGAAGCTGGGTATCTGTGCGTCCAGTGAGGTTCATGAGAAGATCAGGGGTGTTCTGGATCCTGCACACAGGAGATCAACAGAGGAGACCCTCTTCTCTGCCCACCCATCTAAATACTCACTTGTTTCTCTCCTGAATGCCTCTCCATACCTGTAGATACGAGTCCTCCATGGCCACCCTTCTCAGGCCACTGAGCCCTGCACCCAACAGCTACATTACCTCTGCCTTCCATCCCTCCCCGCACCACCTGGCGACACATCTACCTACCTGGCACCTTTATATTCCCTGAATTACAGCTTAAACCCCTTACACTACACCCAAACTCCTGCACCTACTGCCTGGTTTCATCACGTGCCAAACCACACTGGGACTGCTCTTTACAGCTGCTGTGAGGCCTCCTTCCTTCCCCAGCTCTCTTCCCACGAGGCACTCGCCTAAACCCACCTGAGCACATTCCCCTTTTCCTACATCTTGCACAAGGAATGAAGACCCAAGAGGCTATGGGTGATCACGAGGACTTCAACACACACGGAAAGGACAAATGTCCTCTGTGTTAGAGGCGAGGACTATAGGACCACCTACAAACTCCTTTACCTCCTGCCCCACCAACACACAGGTTTTGGGGAGGACGTCTACACAAAGGTGCTGTTGCAGCAGAAGCAAAGGCAAAGCCACCCTGAAGGAACTGAACACTACCAATTCCCACTTCCCCTCTCCTTCCCCACCACGAACAGAGTGCAGCCAGCTCTCGAGTTTGTGTGGTTACAAATAGCTTTCAGATGAAAAATTAACCCCAAAACATACAAGAAAAAACCCAAACTTGCTAGAATAGAATCCCTACACACCTCATTTTTCAAATGAAATCTCTGCTTCTAATCTCAGCAGCCAGCACCACTCAAAACGCAGGTACTCCACACATGAGCTAACACCCTGAGCCCTCAAAATGTTTTCCAAATCAAAAATGTGTATTTTTAATATTAATGAAAAAAGGTTAAGAACATACCTAAGAACCACAAGTTTTCACGACAGATGCACAGGTACCTTCTACATGTATTAATCCTGCAGACTCACACCTCATCTCTCTGAGAAAAGTAAGGATTTTACTATTAAACACTTCCCAGGGAATGGTACTTATGCACTGGAACAAATCAGAGCTCTGCTTTTACAACCTCTGTTGCCAACCAGAAGCCCTCAAGATTCAACTAAAAGCTGCTGTTTCCACTCGCTGGGTGACATGGTCAATTCCAAGAAGCATCATGAGGCCTCCTTCTTCAAGAAGAGATTTCTCTTCTGCCTCTGAATTCTCACTGGCTATAAATGAACCAAATCAAGTGCATGATCTGAGACAGAGAAGGTTTTATCAGTATCATGTCAGAAAGGAAAACAAAAGCCACAAAGCAAGATGAACCATCATCTCCCTCATCAAAAGTCTGGAGAGTTGAATAATTAGAAGCAAGAATGCCTTCACCTGGGCAATGAGATAAAAACACCCATTGCTGTGCAGTTACTCTGCAGAACAACATTTCTGTTTACAGACACAAACAGAAACGTGGTTAAAAAAAAAACAATAATGGGACATTTGCAGAGAGCAGCAGCATGTCAGAGACAGGGGAATGAAAAAAAAAGAGCTTTATTGTGCAATCTGGGTCTCCCCTGTCCAGTATCAGAGAGATTTTGTTTTTCTTTTGCATGATCTGGGCAAGGTGCCCAGGAAATATGAAAACCTGAACTGGGGACTCAGGGAGCAAACACCAGAATTGCCTTTCCATTTTACAGACACGTTTTCCTTCACTCTGTGAGGTCACAGCAACCTTTGCTTACCAGCAAGGATTGGTACCAAAGCTTTTCACCCAGCCCCAATAAATGGCACCACCTCAATACCGTCTAGCTTAAACCAAGGCATTGACTGTCCTTGTGCTCACCAGCCACATCCGCAAGAGGAAGTAAGAGAGGAGCAGAATAAAGTGTCTCCAGCCACCGCCCAACCTGGTGGGGTTGTCTCCAGCTGAGTTTAAATACCTTGTTTTGAATGGAGTTCATAGCACAGTCCTCAGCACACAGGGGCTCAACTAAGCACAGATCTCAGCTTTCACTGCTCCCTGGGTCCCAGAGAAGGGAGAACCCACAAAGGCTGTTGTGGCAGCAACTAAAACCAAGACAATGCAAACTCCAGAACAGGGATGCTCATTTAGTAGAAGGTGATGTTCAATCACACATCACAGGACCCTTTTACAGGCTGTAATTAACAGCCTGGACTGGGTTTGGTGCTCCCCACTTGGTGGCAAGGCAACTTCACAGTAACCCTTCCCTTCACATCCTGCTGCTGCAGCCCTCAACAGGAAGTTATAAAGACTTCAGAGAAAGAACTCCTGACGTTTGGTGGAGCCAAACTGAGAAATCCTTAAGGTCCATCTTCTGTTCCTGTCACTGAGGCCCAGAGCAGCTCCTGATACAAAAGGGTTTATTTCAATCATGCTTTTGGTCCTTTCAACAAATCTGCAAGAGTAAGTTTGCAGCAAGAGATGAACTAAGGAACGGATGAAGCTGTGGCCTGTCCAGGCTGACAGCTACCCCCAGTTCCTCTCTTCAGATGAGATTTTGTCATCCCTTCTCCTTGTTCTATGAGCTCAACAGCACAGTTCCATCACAACACTCAGATACCAAGCTGTCAAAGCTCCGTCCTAAGGAATTAAGGCTTCCCAGCTCCAAGCATACCTCATCTGCTGTTTGTCTCACGCTCTAAACCCAGCAACACTTTGGCCGGGGGAAATAGGTCCTTATTCTGTACCTTGCTTTGAAACTCCAACAGGACCTTCTCCAAACTCTCCTCTTCCAGAAACTGGGCTCTGAGCTCAGGACACGCGCAGGGCTTAATGGAATTATGTTTATTCAAGTTCTGCATCACCGGGACTCTTGTTGATCCCAGTGTGACAACTCCTTGCCCAGCTGAGACAGAACAGAAAGCCTTTATTTCAGTTTAAACGCTAAACCTGCATCCTTGAGGACGCAGCTCAACTCCGGCGCACACGGGTTCTCAAGGCGAGCGGCACGCTGCAGCCTTTGCTGTGCTTCAGGCCGGGCAGACGTTGTATTCCTGGAAGTCAGGAGCAGGGACACGGTATTTATAAAACGCAGGAACGGAAACGGTGCTTCTCGGATCACCTCATCCTGAGTGCTGAAACACTGCATAACAGACTGAGGGACGCTCTGGAGGGAGGCACGAGGGCAGAACTCACTTGGGCTGATCAGTGTGTGATGCACCCAGGACACTTCTTTCTGCTCAATTAAATCCCCATGCAGGCAGAAGCGGTCCACCCATTCCCCACACAGGCCAGGAAAAAGCCCAAACTAAATAAGCAAAATGGGGTGTTTGTTGTGCACTGGGAATGGGCAGAGGCACCACGGACCTGCTCTCAAAGAACAGCTCCAGGAAAGGAAAAGCATATGGAGAGGGAGCCTGGGGAAGGCTCACAAATCAGAATAGGTGCTGCTTCCCCTTCTCCTCCCTCCCCTCCCAAGCTTTACCCTTTCCCTGCCTTGGTAGGGCCTACAAAGTCCTCAGGCCTTATCTTGACTCCACTATACATGAAGTCTTATCATCCCTGGAAAAGTGTTTGGAGGTTCCTAAGGACACGCACCACTCGCTGCCTGAGCACAGAAAGGGTGGAGTGCTGAAACTCCCGAGACAGGCTTTGTTCCGAGGGCTCATTAGATAATGGCAGTTGCGTTCACAAAAACACAGTTATAAACAGGGCAAAAGGAAGTGACTTTGGTCAAAGAACTGCTCAGTTTTCACCCCTCACTCACGTGATGTCAGAATGTCACCAGTTCTCTGCTTACCGGATGATCTCAGAGAGCAAATGAGCTTCAAATGCAGCATTAACAAACTAATAATAAAAGGAAAAGGAGGCGGGAGGGGAGGAGGGATAAGAGAAACACAGCCACATCTGCCTGGTCATCTGCTGCTTTATCACCTCCGAGGGGGGAACACAAGTCATCCTCATTGCTAAATCATTACCCATCAGCTAGAACAGTATCACAACCAAGTTTCACAATTAAGAGCTCCTGCAGCGTATCAATCCATTAAGCCCTACACAGCTGTGCTACCTTGGCAGTGCAGCTACAAATAGATCCAACCCTACCAGACCCATCCCTCCCGCGCCAAAAACCATGCCGCCCATAGCTCGGCTCCGATGGTGGCCGAGAGCGGACACCTCGGGAAGGAAAAGCCAACTCCCTGTCCCATCCCAGGGCTGTGGGATTCCCCAGCTTTGCCTTTACAGCCCTTGAGGTGACTGCTTCATTCCCCCCTTCCCTGATCTCAAAGGCTGCCGATTTCTCAATTAAAGGAGTAATATCAGATTGAGCGGCGTCACTACCCGCACTGCTCCAGTGCCAGCAGGAGAATCCAAGACGACTACGCTAAAGCAGGGGGAAGAGCAGCAGAGGTTCCTCCATGAAAACAAAGGCTATAAAAAGGACAAATACGGGTTTGAAGAGGAAAAAGAAGGGTTTAAAGGGAAAAAGCTCATATCCAAACAGCTCCCTGCATCCATAACTGCGGCAGAGGTTTAGTCACACGCAGAGACACCTTATAGCTGCCCCCCCCCCCCCCCGAAGTGTTTTCTACCCCGTTGGCAGCGGGACCTTGCCACAGCTCAAGTACCCTGCTCCCACCTCCCAGAAACGGGCTCTCACCTCACCTTATTTTTAGAGGCACAAAGTACCCTGTACACAACCCCTGCCATGATGTAACCGGGACGGTGGGCATGGCCCAAACCAGCTCAAAACACCACGGTCAGTCAAAACAAATAAAGAAAGGACAAAAAAACCCCAACCAAGCCACCCCTGCAGTTCCTCCCATATCCTGACCGGCTCCATGGAAAACTACAGTTTGTCATTCAAGTGCATTTTACATAACAGGCGAGATCATCTGTATCGTGCCTGCGTTCTGATCCACCTGGACACGGGTTCGATCAGCGGAGAGATCACACCGAGGGGCTGCTTTTTCCCTAGGAAATAAAGCTGCTTCCCAAGGAATCTCACCGCTGTATTTCCCCCTTGATGTGACCCCCCTCCCCCCGTGTTTCTACCCAAATTTCTCTGGCATCGAGCACTGGAAGACGCTAATCCCATGATGGAAGTAAACACACGTATGGATCACGGGAAGCATTTCAGGATAACCGAGCTCGCCCGGCGTGTTTAGAGGAGAATAATTTGGGATCGATGGGGCGGAAAAACCATAAATAACCCCCCAAAAATACGCAGCCGGGACGTAAATACAGGGAAATGGCTCAGCGACGAGAACCTCTCCCCCCCGAAAAACACGCTATTGTATGCGCCGAGCGCTCCGTGACACAGCCGCGGCCCGCAGCCACCGCTGACAGCGCCGGGAGCCCACCGGGATTACCGGGACCGCTACCGGACGGCCCGGGGCCCGCCGGGGCTGCTCCCCCCGCCCCCCCGCCGGCGGCGCGTTTTGCAATGGGGAGGTGTTATGCAATTTACATGGATTTCTGGGGTTTTTCTGTTTACTTTGAAAACTTCGCCCGTGCCCCCCCCCCCCCATCCCCCATTGCAGGTTACGGCACGGGGGAGCCCTTCGCCCCTTCCCCCCCGTTTTCCTCTTCCCGGAGCGGGGGGGGGGGGGAAGCGGGGCCGGGCTCCGCCGCCGGCCACGTGAGGGGCCCCGGCCCGCCCCGGCGGGACCCCGCCGCTCCCCCCCCCCCCCCCCGGCCGCGGGCGCCTCCGGCCCGGAGATTTCGGTTTAAAGTCGCAACCCGTCCCCTCCCCCGCCCGCGGGAACCGCAGCACCGGGGGGGGGGGGGGGGGGCAGCCCCGAGGTCAGCGCTTCCCGCGGGTCCCCCCGGTTCCCCCCGCACTTTCCCGGGATGGGAGCGATGGGATCGGGGGGGGGGGGGGGGGGCGCCTCCCGCCGGGCGGAGAAGTTGGGGCGCGGCGGCCGCTCCGCAGCGGGGCCCGGCGGGGCGCGGCGGCGCTAACAAAGGGGCGGCGGGGGAGGCGCGGGGCGGCGGGCGCGGGGCGAAGCGGCACCTACCACGTGACGAGCGGCGAGCGCGGTCCGGGCGGGCTCGGCCCCACACAAAATGGGCGCAGTTTGCAAACAAGCCCCGGCGCCGCAACCGGGCCGGGCAGCGCCAGCCCCCGGCGCCCCCCCCGCCCGCTCGGGCCCGCCCCGGCGGCAGGGGGGATGGGCTCGCCCGTTGTCCCTCGGCGGGCGCAGAGCGGCGGCCGCAGTCCTGGGCTGGGGCGGGCGGGCGGAGAAGCTGGAGGGTGGGGGGGGGGCGGGGGGAGCGGCCCCCCCACCCCCGGCTCGGTGCTTGCTGGGCGGCGGCGGCGGCGGGGCGGACCCGGCGGGGCGCGGCGGAGCGGGCGCTGCGGCGCTTTTCTTCTCCCCCCTCTTCCCCCCCGCTCCGGGCGAGCGCGGCGGCGGCGCGGCTCGGAAAATGGCGGCTGGGTCCTTCCCTGCCCTCCCCCTCCCGTCAGCCGGAGAATGCACCGGGGGGGGGTGGAAAGGAGGAGGAGGAGGAGGAAGGGGGGTGAACGCCGCAGCGCCCCCGCCGGCGGCCGCGAGCACCGCGCCCGCCGCCCGCCCGCAGCCAGGGGGCCCCGCCGAGCGCCCGCCGCCGCCGCGCCGAGGAGCTGCAGTGCGGGAGGGGCCCCGCCGCCACCGCCGCCGGGAGGGGAGGGACCGGGAGCGGGGAGGGAAGGGGGGGACGGGGCGGGGCGGCCCCGCTCCCCATTGTCCGGCTGCTGTCCCCGCCGCCGCCCGCCAGGGGGAGCCCGCCACGCAGCGCGCAGGCGCGCCGGGACCCGCTGCAAGGCGGCGCGGGGCATGCTGGGAGTAGTAGTCCGGCACCCCCCGCCACGTGCAGGAGCGGGCTCTGCTTTAAGCGTTCACCCCGAAACAACAACGTCTGCTTTGTCCCATCCTCGCAGGAACGCTTTGGACCGTTTTAAGCGATCTCCCCCCAAAACACCACCACCCGCTCCTGCACCTGCAGCCCCGGGGGCTCTTTACTGCCCCATCTCGCATTTCCTCTTCATTTCCCCAAATCTGCCTACGAATTCCACTCGAACCCCTAAACCCTGGGCCCCCCGAACCGCTGCACGCCTTGGGGAACCATCCCAGGCTTGGTGGCCTCCTGCCCTCGCTCTCCTTCTCACGGCCAGCAGCTCCGCCCCACCAGATCTGCAGCCCGCGATGCCAAGGCTGGAGACCTCGGGACCTTCTCCCACCACCACAGGGATACCTCCTCCCCCGCACTCCACGCACAGCACACGCAGAGGGGCAGCGGAGCAGGAGAACGACTCTGGGGCTGCACCAACCAGTTCCACCGCTTTGACCTTCAGTTTCGCCACGTGCACGGCGGGGCACACAGAGCTCTGGCCCCCGGTGCCGCTGGAGCCGAAGCGGGCAGCGCTCAGCGCCGCGGGGCAGCTCCGTATCGCTGCCAGGCAGAGCCGCTCTCCCAGCCCCCGCCCCCGCCCCGGGCGGGTCTGCGTGCCCGGTCTCATTCGCTATCTCTGCCCGGCAGCGCACTCCATCCCCTCGCTAGAGCTGTGCTGCCCCTACAGCAGGAACGCAGTTACGCCAGTAATCAAGTGCTTTAGCCCGTCCTATGCCTGCAAAGGGGAGAAGCACCAGCAGTGCACGCTGTTATACAGCGAGGAGAGCCTGCCCTAGGGACTGGGGTTTACAGCGAAAAGAGTTGCACTGTATCTCGACTGCAGAGTTAGGTAAGAGCTATGAATGCTGGCTCTGTAGCCAGCACAGGCAATCCTGACCTGCATTATACAGCACACAGATTTCTTTCCTCCTTTTGCATCAAATCCCACCACCACACGAGAGGGAAAGCAACACTCCCCTTCTTCACAAAGCATTTGGAGATAGAGAATCCGTACACTACCACTGCTCTTTAAAATCCAACATACTGCTTAAGAAATCACACACGGAACAGTCACCACAGCTGGGGTCTGGGTTCAGGGAATCCATGGGCAATACATTTCAGCATCATTTTTTCTAAGGCCACCTACATTCACTGCCAAGACTACCCCACAACATCCCATGGTTCTGCTGACCCACGAATGCGCAAAACAAAGCTCATCTGTAAGTGATTAAGGAAAATATCCAATTAAAGACAGCAGAGACCCCAATGCTGGGCTGCCGACACTTCCTGCTGTACCTCACAGTCACACTCCTCCCCTCCTGGATGGCCATTCCCCATCACAGCACAGCAGTTACACCATCTCAGCAGTTTCATGCAGTACCTTGAAACCAAAATGAGTCTAAGGACCTAGAACTGGGCTTTAAATCAATGATGAAACAGTGCCAAGGAGGACATCCGGACAGCGTGTTATCAGCTACCCCAAATCCAGCATAGAACTGGGTCCCGTGGAGAACATTCCCTGTTCTTAAGGGTAACAGGGATTCTGTTTCTGTAAGGCAGCTGCATGATGAACTCAGCAGCCCCATGCTTTCTCCTGATCCATTTCTCCTCACCACACTCTGTAGGAAGAACAACGACCCTACAACAGCATACATCTCTTTCCTTTTCATTCTTTCCCCCCCCCCCCCCCCCCCAGATCTACCTTGAATTCAGTTCAGCTAAAGAGCAGAAGTAGCAACAAACACATTTTTATACTGGAACAGAACTGGGAAGGCAATTTGGTGTGGAGGAAGTCGAGAGAAATTCCCCTACAATAAAGCTCCATTCTGCACTGCAGGGACTTCTGCTCACCGAGTCATGCCTAACCAAGAGCTGCAATCTTTAGCTTGACAGCCTGGTACAGATCTGGATCTTCCTGCAGCACAGGATCCTCCAGCGTTCATCATTCAGCCTGACCCAGACATGATGTAGCAAAAACTGCTGCACAGCCTAAAATAACACAACTTTGGCCTCTCTTCACAACCTTTCCAGTCTCATTTGTCCATTCCAATTACTGCTACACCATCTCCTCCAGGTCACACAGCTACTCCTGTACCTGCTACCCTCACACAGCTTCATTACTACTCTTGAGCAAGAGGAGCTCTCCCCAGTGAATCCACATTTCTACAGCACCATCCTTTAAATCTTTCTTTGAAGTCACCTTCTCCTGCAAAGTATCACGAGCACACAAAGCACAGGGTTCAATACATGGCAAGTGTTGTGTACCCAGCTACTCACCCCTGATGATTACCTTGACTTTCCCATATGCATTTGTTGCTTATACCTACTAATCCTCATTATTTACTTTGATTGTACCTGCCTTGGAAACAGTATCTGCACAGTAAGTATCTGCATAGCAGTACACATAGTTAAGATTACCAGACACGGACATAGGACACATGAAGGGAGACTTTTGAGCCTGGATTGGTTTGAGAACCATCCTGAAGCTAGAGAAGGCAATGGCCACCAAAGCACACAGCAATGAGACTCCCTTCAGATACAACCACAACTTTTGCATCTTCATTTACAACCTCATTAGATATCCTAACAAAAAGCACCAAACTCAAACATCAGTGGCCACAGAAGCCTCCAGAAGACGCAAAACTTGTCTGGTTTAAAGCTAAATATGGAGAAGTTATAGCAACAAGAAGAGACCCTTGCAATGATCATTGCTCTTCTGATCATGTTGAAGAGGAATTACAGAACCTGGTTCATGGCAAGAAAAGCATTCCTTAGCTGAGCAGACACAGCACATCCCAGTCAGCCAGTCTCAAAATGCTCACTGAAAAGGAAAAACAATAGCAAAGTCCTTTAAACCCAAGAAGTAGAGTCACAGAAAGGTAACTAGTGTGATGCTGGTAGAGCTCAGCAACCCTGGCACCTCCCTCATGAGGCAGGTACCAAATCTCCTAACGTATCCTATGGTCAACATCCAAACCTGGAGCTTCCCTGGCAGCTTCTGGGTTGATGGACTTGATATCAACAAGAAAGGAATGTGCTACTCACTAAAAAGAACCTGAGTGATCCACATAAGCAACAGAGCTTGTTTGAAAACCCCCTTGGTGATTTAGATCAAGCCATTGGATACAGACATTCATCATTTCATGGATGTTCTCATACTGGAGAGTTCTACTCAGTTCCTCTCAAGGTCAGAGCTGTATTGGCACCCAGGCTAGGGGGAAATTAATTTCATCTGCTGTGAAGTGGAATTTGGTCTAATAATAAGCTATTTTGAATCAATTGTTGTTTCAACTGCAAAATGTATTTCTATGGTTTCCACTGGGATGAGGGGCTGGGAACCTAAGACTATTTAACAAAGGTAACAGGCACACTTCACTGATGTATTTTTGGGTCCTTACCAAAGACATTGGTCTCCTCCTGCCAAAAAGTACTCTAATACTCCACACCGTTGCATCAGACTGATGTTGTACAGAAGAGCCTGGCTTCCTAAAGTCCTCATGGGAACTTCTATTCATATCAACCTGAGGGATGCAGTGAAGTACCTTCCAAAGAAGAACATCAGGCTGAGTACTCGCAATAAAGCACCCTGAATTGTGAAGCTGGGGACCCATAGCCAGGTTTTATTAACTTGCAGAGAGTAAAACATCCAGTTGTAACCCTGGATCATGCAGGTCCCCAAGAGTTGCCAACAACATCATCATGTTGGCTTAGATGCATCCAAAACACATGGATGATGCTGCACAAGAGGTGCAGAAGTAAGCCTCAGATCCCATCAGCCTGCTTGGGTATTTGCTTAAGGAACACCACAATGGCTGCAATTGAGGCAATACTTCTTTATGGACATCAGTATGTTTTGTGCAGAGTGAATGTGTGATCCCAGACACTTAACGATGCAAGCAGTGAAAGAAAACAGAAGTGAACAGCAGAATAAATAGGGTGACAGCACACGTAAATGCTGCATTCCTTCAGGTTATAGGTGGTTTTATCATGGGAGAGGAGCAGTGGGAGAGGGAAAGGAGAGGAGAAGGCCATGTAATCCAGCATTAACCACATAAAAGTCCATGTGTTATAACACCATGAGACATGAGCTCATCTAGTTTCAGGGGACAACCCTGTCCAATCTCAACACTGAAAAATAGCCTATGGGTTCTGTGGAGTTACAGGAGGGACATGAGACACTTGTGCTCCTATGGGCTAGGGTAAGGCTCAGTTCCACTGTGTGACACACAGATTAAAGAGTTTTCACATAAACAAGAAGTCAGAAGAATGAGGAACCCAGCAACTGGTAAGAAGCAGGAGCATGCTACCAGCAGTATGGGAGTCCAGATTTACAACTCGACCCTTCCTCCATCTTCCAGATGGAAAGCCTTGATGTACTTCCCTTTATCCACGAGCCTTGGCTAAGGCTCACAGAACATCTTCATAGATTCAATCCTGCACCTCACACTCCTCCTCGGGAGTCAACAGCAAACCTGAGACCACCCAAGGCCATTCAGCCACTTCCAACACTGGGACGTGGAAGCTCTCCCTCTGCCACCGGCAAGATTAGCGCTAGTTGTAAGAGTCCCTTTTCAGTAGTCCATGTTATGGTCT